CTCAACTCTTCTGATAAATACAATTTTGAACTCGGCTCTTTTCAACAAAAACACGAACCTAAACACGATTTTTCCATGAAAACGCTATGATATCGTTGAAAAACTCCAAATCCACTATTCTGAGATGAAAAATCTGTTTTTTCGTTAACCAGCTGTAGCACCCCTACGAACGACAATCCTCGGAAGTCTCACTATACAAGGTAGATTTAACAAGTTCAAATTCAGAGCTTTGGAATACAAAGACTCGCCGTTAAAAATTCTAAACATATTAAAATGTTATATATGTGAAATATAACAAAAATAATAATGACAATATTCTTATGAGATATCTTCTCAAAATAATTCATCTGTTGTATAAAAACATCTTGTTACAAGTAATTTTTTGAGTCGCTTTTTGAAAGTAAATAATGAAGAACAGTTTTTCAATTCATGTATGTACGCCATGTATGTTGGTGAAGAATAAACAGCATCAGTGGTAATACTGAACCTTGTATTACTCCGTAAACAATTATTGTTTCTTAATTTTTAATACACTTTGTGGTGACTGTTGACATAAGTGTACAAAAAATTTTCAGAAAGTTTCTGCCCTTCCATTCCTTTTCCAGTATCAAAATTGTTGAAAATGTCTTATAACCTATTCCATTTATGAACACAGTTTACTCTGATCAAAACGAACAGTGTTACGCTTCAGATGGTTTACGACCCGTGTAGTTTTTAATAACCTGTAGCGTCGAAGTGCTCTCTGAAATCCATATTTCTTCAAACTCGCACTGCGAGCTGCAATTTGCACAAGTTTATACGAATATAAAATTTTCGAAACGTATGTAAATTTCTAGAGAATTTCGCTCGTGTGTATAAAAATTCATCCGGCAGCTGAATTTGAAAAGCAAATGCATTTACCTCAATAACGTATTTTATATGAAAATACGGAGGAAGATTAAAAAACTATATTGTTATTATCGCCAGAAGCAAACTTTACTGGACCATGAATATCAAAAATCTGCATTCTGCTTTGGGCTGAGTGTCTGAATGATGGATGAATATTTTGCCCGTGTGCATAATTATACATCTTTTAGAATAGTTGCAAACAAAAGTATTGATTTCTGCGAAAGCAGGTATTTCTTTTCGAAAAAGATATAAAAAAAATCTGTTTAAAATCTGTTTTTCCGTTAACCAGCTGTCGCACCCCAACGAACAACAACCCTCAGAAGTCGAAACTTATGCGAGCTGAGGTCTAACGAAGTCTTACTTTTCAACGTGTGATTCCTAACACGGGTTGGACGATAGCAAGTGAAAATCGATCGTTCATACTAGGGCTTGAACCACCGACCAACACGGCAGTCAATTCGAGTGAGTGAACAAAGCACCCACGTCTTCCATACCAGACAAAGCAACAATTAGAGGAAGTAGATGTCATGGTTCAAGAACCATTACATATGAACGAATTAGTAAGTTAATTGATTATGGTTGTCTGTAATCAACAAAAAATTATAACATATGAAGAGAGGTCAGGGGAAAAATGTACTCTGTCCATTTTAGATAATTTTTTGAGTTATTTCAATTTGAACATTATTTTGTTATGAGAACAAATTTTTAAAGTTGCCGATAATCATTACATCAAAAACTAATTTTATTTGTACTAAAAATGTTTGTATTGTTGAAGTGCTAATTTGGCAAGGGAAAAGTGTACTTTGTCTCTTATTTGTAATGTGGTAAGACTAGACAAAGTACATTCTTCCGCTGACCTCTTCATATGGTAAAATATTATGGTTTTATTTGCAGATGATTTTTCTATATCTCGCTGTATTTTAATGATCTACCTTATATTGATTCTGAGGGAATGTTCACAATTTTTGCAGCTAATACGAACATCCTGTGGCATGACATTAATGAAAATAATCTTCAAAACAAAATAGCACAAGATATTGTTTAAAGTGTGGAGAGTAGTGCAACTCCAATCTGATATCCTTCAATATAGAAAAAAAATCAATATTTAATTACAACTTGTAGAGCATTCCGATGGATAATGATATTATATCAAACAAAAAACTACATAAATTTCTTGGAATCAATCTGGACAGCAACCAAAATTTCAATAACCATGTTAATTTGCTGAGAGAAAACATAGCTTCGGGGTGTTATGCTTTACAAACGGTGTCGGAAGAAATGGGTATTGTAACTGCAAAAGTTGTGTACCACACTGTGGTTGAATCGCATCTAAGGTATAGCATATCATTCTGGGGCACCTGCAAACAATCAAAAATAATAATGACAATATTCTTATGAGATATCTTCTCAAAATAATTCATCTGTTGTATAAAAACATCTTGTTACAAGTAATTTTTTGAGTCGCTTTTTGAAAGTAAATAATGAAGAACAGTTTTTCAATTCATGTATGTACGCCATGTATGTTGGTGAAGAATAAACAGCATCAGTGGTAATACTGAACCTTGTATTACTCCGTAAACAATTATTGTTTCTTAATTTTTAATACACTTTGTGGTGACTGTTGACATAAGTGTACAAAAAATTTTCAGAAAGTTTCTGCCCTTCCATTCCTTTTCCAGTATCAAAATTGTTGAAAATGTCTTATAACCTATTCCATTTATGAACACAGTTTACTCTGATCAAAACGAACAGTGTTACGCTTCAGATGGTTTACGACCCGTGTAGTTTTTAATAACCTGTAGCGTCGAAGTGCTCTCTGAAATCCATATTTCTTCAAACTCGCACTGCGAGCTGCAATTTGCACAAGTTTATACGAATATAAAATTTTCGAAACGTATGTAAATTTCTAGAGAATTTCGCTCGTGTGTATAAAAATTCATCCGGCAGCTGAATTTGAAAAGCAAATGCATTTACCTCAATAACGTATTTTATATGAAAATACGGAGGAAGATTAAAAAACTATATTGTTATTATCGCCAGAAGCAAACTTTACTGGACCATGAATATCAAAAATCTGCATTCTGCTTTGGGCTGAGTGCCTGAATGATGGATGAATATTTTGCCCGAGTGCATAATTATATGCATCTTTTAGAATAGTTGCAAACAAAAGTATTGATTTCTGTGAAAGCAGGTATTTCTTTTTGAAAAAGATATAAAAAAATCTGTTTAAAATCTGTTTTTCCGTTAACCAGCTGTCGCACCCCAACGAACAACAACCCTCAGAAGTCGAAACTTGTGCGAGCTAAGGTCTAACAAAGTCTTACTTTTTAACGTGTGATTCCTAACACGGGTTGGACGATAGCAAGTGAAAATCGATCGTTCATACTAGGGCTTGAACCACCGACCAATACGGCAGTCAATTCGAGTGAGTGAACAAAGCACCCACGTCGAACCGACCACTACACAAATCGCAAACGACGAATTTACAACTATTTCAACACAATTTCAACTCCACGACAAATATATGAAAAATCCTTATAGTAAGAGTTAAAACAGATTTTCCGAAATTAAAACTCAATTGATGAAACATTAATTGGAATTGGTGAAAACTAGGAAGCTGAAATTTGGTATATAGGTCCATCTTAGGTCTCAGATGCACAATAAGGAAGGATTCCAACTGAGGAGCCCCCCTTGGGAGTAAAAGGGGCGCGTTTTCATATGAAAATCACCTTTTCATCGCTATTGCTCCGTACCGGTGGCTGAAATTTTGCATGTAGGATCGTTTTATGTTATAGATGTGCAATAAGAAAGGATTTTCAGATATTGACAAATAGAGCGCCAGCTGCGAGGGAAAAGGTGTCTTCATAAAAGAAATTAACCTTTTCATCACTGTTCACCCATGCCCTTAAATTTTCGGTGAGTGAACCTATATTTAGTATCAGCATTGTGCCTATGCGGAGCCGGGGCGAGTCGCTAGTATATTCATATAACGCACTTCAGATATTACTTATACTCGGTTTTATTACACCTTAAAGACCACGAGAAAGATTAACGAGATGATTAAAATAAAAAAAATCATAAAATAATCCAGTGTGAATATTGAGCTGTAGTACTTGGCTCATTTTTTTTAAGTAAGAACCTTCACTCCATTACAAAACTGTTCATACCTAAAAAATAACCTCGTATATTGGGTTCAATATAACATAATTTACCTTCGACCACTTATACAGGGTGTTCATTAAACATGCGGCAACATTTCAAGTGACTATTTCTTGGACTATTCTGAGGATATTTTGTCCTTTGATGATTTTGATAGGGTGCTTTGTATCGAAGATACGGAGCGAAAGAGAATTTCGACAATAACAATTTATTACCAAAAATTACATGTAACGTTTCTTGATCTACAAGAACTGTTGAAAATGACTACCTCGGATGCAAGAATCCAATCTTCTCCTCATCGACTTCTGAACTCTTTCAAAAACACCAGGATTGTTTTTGATTGCGTTACACCCAGCAAATTGAATGTCTGCAGCGTTTGTAGTAATTGCAATGTTTTAATAGGTACCAACGGAATTGTTAGATTTTTTATTATCTACTTAGTAGGTACAGTGCAGTACGCTATATTTTATTTCGGCTACGTTAATGATTTTAAAATTATCAAAATGGTGATTGTCAAAATTATTTTTCGCCTCGAACGAAGCGCTCTATCAAAAATAATCAGAGGGCAACATATCCTCAGAGTAGTGTAAGGAATAGTCCCTTAATTTATTTTTCCGCATGTTTGATAAACATCCTGCCCCGATAGCACCAAATATTTGGTAAATATTTTCTTTGTGTATTGTTGAAGTGCTAATTTGCCAAGGAAAAAGTGTACTTTGTCTCTTATTTGTAATGTGGTAAGACTAGACAAAGTACATTCTTTCCCTGACCTCTTCATATGGTAAAATATTATGGTTTTATTTGCAGATGATTTTTCTATATCTTGCTGGAGGAAGCAACTCACACAAAAGTGTATATACCTATGGCAATGCAAAAGATATTTGCCAAAAATTTAGCTATATTCTACAGTGGACAAGGTAAAAAAAAAGAAAATCCCTTTTTGCTCTATGAAGATTCACCTTGTTTTTAGCTACTGCGAAATCGAGATTATTGAATAAACAGAATGCATTAGGCAGGTAGGTATAGTGCCTGTTGTTATTTTTTTATCAAATATTTTAGTGGTTCTATGTAGGCTTGTGTTAAGTCAGACCTCTTTTAAAGAAAATATATTTGAATCTTTTTTGTTCTTTTTATAAATAACTATAAATAAACTACTCATGATATCATCAGTTGATGATATAGTTATTATACATTGAAATAAGACTAAAAGCTTAACATAATTTACATCAAGAACATGCATAAAAATCTTTAATACTATGTGTACTAATAAAATATATTATTATCAGTGTTTGATTTTTTAGTGAAATGGTTTTGCAGCGTACCGAAGAAGAATTTTAATTAACAAACATGTAGATACCTACCTTTTGAGAATAAATTTTTTTTTCAAATTACACAATTAAAAAATATTTTTTGCTATCTGGGTGTAGAAGTACCTACTTACTCAAGGTGATTCAAACTCAGAATTCTTGGCAGTTTTGAAGAATTAACAACTATGTCAAATTTTAAAAGTTACTAATAGAATGAAAATGCTCAATAAAGCTATTGTACAGGTAAACACGTGTTGGTTGTTGTTGCTGTTTGGTAAACGGTCCAGTGAAAGTGTAACTCGAATAATTTTTTGGATTTTCTTTAATTATCGGCCAAATCCATCACATTACTAAAACAGTTCATAATGATTTTCACTTCGTCACAAAGCTATTATATGAAACTCAGAATGAGTATGGGTTTTCATTAAGTATCGGCCAGTTTAATGCAGGTATCAATCAAATCTGGTATGCATTATGAAATAGTCCATATATATTATGACCAGTTGATTAGAATAATTTTAAAATTGTAAAAATGAATAATGCGAATATTTCGGTTCACGATATCAATGGAGCTGCTTCGATATAGTTATCTTAATATCGTGTTTCATTGCAGTGGTGTTGAAAATCACAATTACCAGTCAAAAATATTGACAAAAGTTGAAACTGGAGCCCTGGACGTGAAATGAATCCAAATCAAGAAAGTTTTTGAATCACCAGAAATGCAATATCCTTCCCAACGCGCGTTTCACCAATCAAGTTGACGTCTCATAGAAATGAAGAAAACTTTTTTCCTGGCGTCATTAGCAGATACAGAAAATTGAGTTTTCCCCATTTTCTGATGACGCCAACTTGGTGGGCTTCGGGTGATGAAGAAAACTCTCCTCATGAAGACGCCAACTTGGTTGATGAAACGCGCGTCGAGAAGTGATTGGGGAATGTGCTTGTTTTTTAAACATATTGATGCTGACTGCCTCTATCATGAGCTCAGATTTTAATTCCTTTCATGATATGACACGACATGATAGATGCTGGTCCAATCCGGCATCGCCCGGTAGGATACCATAGCAATGGCTAAGTGGGAAGTTGCTTTCGGGCTAACGTTTCGTTGCCGTGCCGCTGTTTCTGGTTTCAAGGGTGGGAATATGAGGAAAACTTGCATGATGGCGCTTCTAGGGTCAAAATACTCCGGAGGTGAAATAACTCCTCAATCAGATCTCCGGGTGCGAGCTGATTAGAGGGCATTATCCTGCCGAAAACCACTATGTGTGACAGTCAGCAGGGTCCTTCTAACATCAGCCTACTGGGAAAGAGCATGGTAACTGCAGTTGCTAAGAGGCCCACTAGAAACTTCAAAATCGATTTCTGCATCATAGGACTCAACTCAAATATAAACTTAGTTTACCAACATCTGCAAACAAATAGTCCTCATATTGTTGCACTCACAGAAACAAAAGTTAGTGCTTCAAAAAATCCTGTCAATTTTCTATATGATTGCTACTCCCAGACTTAACTTGGGAATATCTCTTTTTATCAGAAGCGATCTCTTTTTTCAATTATGTGCTGGAACCCCAAAACTTGTCATGTGATGTCATGTGTTTCAAAATAATATCACAGAAGATAACTGTAGTTATTGACGTTACAAGGCCGATACGTAGCAAATAACGGATTAGGTTGAGTATTGTAATCCAAATAGTAGCCTAGGATTATAACAATCGAATCCATTATTTGCGTATCAGCCGTGTGTCGTTCAGACTTTTCGTAATCCCGCTGAAAGATTACATTTGATTTCCGAGGAAAGAACGAATCACGTACCTCGTTATTCTACAGAAAGTTACCAACATTATGTTGTCATGGAACAGTTCAACAATATCATAACAATATTATAAACAACGTCAGTTTTTTGTATTCGCGAGTTCGCGTTAACAAGAATCATGAATGAAATTGAGGAAATTTTGGGAGAATTATGTGCAGCGAGTGTTAGCAGAATAAAGGTTTGAAAAAATCTCAACGGACGGAGGCTGATAGCATCAACTTTTCAATTGTCATCTGAATAGCGTTAAATCAAAATAACCGTATGGGATTACGAAAGATTCTTATGCTACGTTTATCGATCACCAAGCGATACACAATATAGGGCACTATTCTGTTCATTCCAGTGCCGAAATTTATATATTCGGTGACTTCAATGTCCACAATATAGAATGGCAACGATGAACAAGGTTGTGAAGCTAAGGCTTTTACAATAAGCAGCGGACTTACTCTGATTAGAAATTAGCCAGCAGCTGCAAACTTATAATAAATGAACGAAAAGAACTTCACAATCAGAGAATTAGGGATAAATTACTCGCCATTCCCAACGGGTCTAACAGATGAAGTTGTTGATCAAAACTTTACAAAATTTACAATTCCACCACTAACACAAGTGGATGGTTCAATTGCAACAACAGCCATAGAAAAAGGAAACCTACTAGCTGAACAATTTGCGTCCCACTCCACAGTCGATTTTCTGGGAAAAGCACCACCCACTATTTCCATACTAGAATCCACAATGCCAGAAATTACTTTTCGACAACGTCTAGTCAGGCGAATTTTGAAACAGATCAATATCTGGTCTGGTCCTGATGTAGTGCTCGTCGTCGTACTCAAAAAGTGCGCAAATGAACTCACACCAGTATTTTGCAGACTTTTCAACCTGTCTTACAAGAAAGGAGTTTTCCTTCCTGTTGGAAGTTGCTCATGTTCAGCCTATTTCTATAAAGGACAAGAAAAATCTTTCAATACACTATAAACCAGCCGCTTTGCTATTAGTGATATCAAATTTGGAAGGCTTCAACATCTTGAGCGATCATCAATATAGCTTTCGGAAAAAAAGATCAACAGGCAACCTTCTATCGTATGTCACCCATATTTGGAATAACGTGTCAAAAAACATGAAGAATCGAGGGCTGTTGCGCATGATATTTCTAAGGCCTTTGACCGTGTATGGCATGGGGGTTTGCTGGCCAAACTTCGATGATATGGCTTGTCGAATCATTTCTGTGTATGGCTCTCCAGCTTCCCAAAAGAACGTTCCCTGCAAGTGGCCGTCGATGGATATCTCTCGAATACTTTTACCATCAACGCTGGTGTTCCCCAGGGATCTATATTGTCTTCAACCCACTATTTATTGTAATATCAACGACTTATTGGAAAAACCAAGAATCCAATATATTGTTTTGCTGACGACATCACACTTGTCTTGTCATTCCAATTGAATTCGAGGACATCGGCTGCGGATGCAGATCTTTACCGGCAGCAGGTGGTTGTATATCTCAATGGGGTGATGAGAAGTGATTTCGAATTGGGATGAAAGTAACCAGATTCAGTTCGATGCTACGAAAATCCAGGCATCGGTTTTCTTTAAAAAGATAAATGTCTTCGAACCGGATATAATTTATTGTTTTCTATTTCGATAAGTTTGTTGGGGGTTGATATGGACACTGATATGTCTTGGCACAATCATGTCGCTGGAATTGCTTAGACGGCTTCTCAAAAGCTCGAAACATTGTTCAGAACCAGAAAACTGTACACACCTCGGCAACTTTTGATGCTGTATAAAGCTCAGATCCACAAAATAGCCATCCGCCTGATTGGAGACGCGAACATCACTTGCAACCTTGACAGGCTGGGACATCGAAGAAAAGTTGGAAATTTGACCCTCTTCTATAGATACTTTCACGGGAAGTTTTCAAGTGACTTGGCACATTTGATTCCACCAAGAGTGGTATATATCAGAAATACGCGACGAACTGTGGCTGCTCATCGTTTTGAGGTTCAACTAAGTACACCTCGAACTTCACTGTTAGCGTATATGTGGAATAAACTTCCTGAGAACTCAAATGGTTTCAATCTCTAGCGAGTCGAATCAAATGTAAATCGCGCAAGGACCGCTCTTAGAGCGCCTCAAGGATTTTCCTGTAGTGCTTGTATTTTGTCTTAAAAAAAAGAAATAATTTGATAAAGATCTGTCTAACCTTCAAAGTTTTCGTTATATTTCTGAAATGAAGAAAATAACAGAATCAACATATAAATGTATTGATTAAACTCAACAAATTTATCTGAACAAAATAAGACAGAAACATTTTATTGATTCAATTTGTTATACGCATATATTTCTAAAGAGTGACGTAAAGAACAAAAGAGAAATATGAAAAGAAGGTTGGCAAACTTCAGACACGTGTTTTTGTAGTTTTAGCCCTTATCAGGTTAAGTGTTCAAGATGAGCAAAAATTGACTGCAGGAAGCTAGCTCAAACTATGACATAAGCAGGTAGCTACAGCTGCTTTGCATGTTTCTGCTGCTCCGCATGTATCTACAGTTTGCCAACCTTTACTTTTCTGAGTAATTATGCATAAATGTTCTCTCAAGATAGTATTTTTTAGAGTTACTGAAAACTTGGTTCGAATTATAAAAAAAAGAACTGCCTCACTGTTTCTAGGTGAAATTTCGTTTTTATGGTTCTGGTTCCCTTTCAATGGAAGAGCTTCATGAAGCAAGAGCCGAACCGATCCCTTTACGAAATTCTTGCAGCTTGAGAAATGGTTCTTATGCAGATTCTGTGAAACATGTTCTTTCTTACGAATCAGTAAAGAGTTGTTCTGAAAATCTTGTCCAACACTTTCTACGTGTTGTTCATGACGAAGAATTTCAAGGAGATTTTAACGATGAACGAGAACGAGAATGTTTCCTACTTATTCACCAAACTCAAAGACCTATTCATACAACTGCAGTTTCGTAAGAATGTATCATATTTTCCACCAACCGATTTCCTGAAGTCTTTGAAGTCCACTAGATACTTGTTAGGACAACGAGAGGATGATTTCGAATTCTTGGGGTTCTTGTTGAGTACTCTTCGTGAGCAAAAAAATAGCATAATGAATACCCCTGATCGCTCAGGATTAGATGATTCCGTACAGTCTATCTCGTCTTGTATTTGTTAATCTTCTGCTGGAAAAATCCTCACCTATTTACTTTGTAGTAAATGTTCAAGAGGTAGCAAAAACGTATGTGAATTTCAGGAACTTCAACTGTCGTTTCCTAATATG